AATTTTCTCTATAAATTTCGTGTAACTACCAATTTTCTTCAAAAACTTTCAATACCCAAAGCCAGCCACAACTACAACCAAACTTACTGCGAAGGAGAGCAAGGAACCCCAAAAGTGTGCAACTCATTACTTCCATGCAATGCAAGCTTGCGCTTATATTTTGTGGGGCGAACGAGCAAAAGGCCCATCAGCAGCAGGTATATAAGTGTGGTCTCAAGTACACTTGCACTAGAGATGATAACCATACTATTTAGACAAACTTCGGGCCAAATGGGAATCGTGCGCAGTTGGCTTATTTGCTAAAAAGATACATATCAGCAGCGCGAGGCGACATTTCAACGTCTTTGCATCTAATAACCAAGTTGCCAGTTCCACTTAAAATGCGATTTTTTTCGCTGCTTGCAACTGGGAACTTTTTTGAGCGAGTGCGACGAGCGCATAAGCAACGTCACTCGACTGAAATCAGGTCAACATTCATTAATGTCACGTTGCCAAAATGAAAATCTTTTCAAAAGATTTCATGTACTCCGCGGTCTTCTTTTTTTTTTTTTTGTGTGTGCATGATGTTAGAAAAAATGCCACCCTTTTCCAGTTTTTGCGCTTCAGCGAGTAAAAGCATACACACACGCACACACAGACATACATATATGCGCATGTTCGTGCATTACTTACACTTCCGCTCATAGAAAGCGCACACAAAACACAACGCGAACTCGCTGTACCGCAAACCGCTGCCGCCACAGCATCAACAAGCGCTTTCAGAAATACTGCTGTTGTTGTTGTGGTCTTATGTCGCAGGTGGCTCTAACGGTGCAACAAAACGCACATCGCATGCCAGCACGTTGATGCCGTGTCCTACTGCCTTGTGAGCGTATGCGTTCGCTTCCTTGGCACCGATTGCCTGCAAGCGTTTGCGTTTGTGTGTGTTAAAAAGCTGCGCTTGTTCATGTCAAGCAATTTCATTTGTGCAACACCATTATTATTGCATTTCAATTCGTTTCGTGTCAACCTTATCTTAGCGCAGCGCTTTGAACACACACACACCCACAACAACAAACGAAGAAGAAGCATACTTTTAGATACGCCTACTATGTATGAGGGGCTATATGTGTGAAGTGAACTATTTGGTCGATGTGTCGATGCAGGCTCGAAGTGCCAAGTGATTGTGACACACACACATATATGTATACAAACAAACTAGTACACTTTGTGTGCTGTTATGCTGGCCGCATGCGCCACATGTGCAACATTCCTTCAAAATGTTACTATTTTCGTTTTAAAAAACAACAACAAAATATTGTGAGTATTTACTGTTGCACATTGAGGTACAAAATGTCGGCGCTGCAGCAAATAAAAGCAAATATGAAGGTATACATACATATGTATATGCGTGTAAGTGTATTATTGTACATTTAGCGCTATAGACATCGGCTGCTGCGTAGCGGTTGCATGCCATTTCGACTATGGAAACACATATTTGTGTTTATTTTGTACAAATATTAGATTGCTTGCTGTCTTTAAGTTAAATAATCAAAAATATAGATTTGAAGAGATCGATAGAAGTATGTAAGTCAGTCCAGAAATTTTTTTCGGGATCCCGCACTTAATAATAAGTAAAAAGCACGCATATCAGCACTTTTTTATAATTATAAAACAAAAATCGAAAAAAGTAAATCAATCCCGAACATTTTTATTAGGGATCCCGATTTAAAAATAAATGTGCAGATATTTTGAAAACACGTAAATCAGTACTTTTTTATTAATCGAAAATATTAAGTAAATGAATCTCGAAATTTTTCTCCGGGACCCCGAAGTTAAGAAAAAATGTGCAAGATTAAAACCACGCATATAAGCACTTTATAATAATTCGAAAACAATAATCGAAAAAAAAAAGAAATCAATGCCGAAATTTTTTATTCGGATCCCGAAGTTAAGAATAAGTGTATACAGGTTTTTTTAAACCACGCATATCAGCACTTTATAATAATCGATAAAAGTAAGTCAATCCCGAATTTTTTTCAACAATCCCGAATTGGACACACAGATAAAATAGGATAAAATTGTAGTAAAAACTTTTTGTTCAAGAAATATTATTAATTAAACCAAATTTGATGATCTTCATATTTTTTTCGAAATATTACCATTTAATACGATCCGAATCCGGAAAAACATCCATAAAATGGCATCCCGGTTATAATATTTTTGTTACAAAACTAAATATTACTATGTCAGCGTTGTAGAAACTATTTAAAGAACATTATTTCCACAAACTCGCGAATTTTTGGTTGCAAGTGATATTATACGTATTATGTAAAACTTATAACAAATTTTAATGTTTTTGAAAATTATTTTTCGGGATCACGATTTTTTTTTTTTTTTCAACTCGTCAAGTTTGAAAATATACAAACGTTGATGTTAGCATTACAAAAAATGTAGGGGTTTTTGAAAATTAATTTTTCGGGATCCCGATTTGTTTTCAACTCGTCAAAGTAAAAATATATGCATTATGCTAGCATTATAACAAATTTTAATGTTTTTGAAAATAATTTTTCGGGATCCCGAAATATTTTGTCAACTCATCAAGTTTGAAAATAATAATTACATACATTTACATATGTACATACCTATCCAAAATTCAATACTAGCCTACACACAAAAATATAGTAGTCAATATTATTGCGCAATACTATTTATTTAATAGAGCTCGCCTTGTTGTGCCCTTTGCCGCCGCCTGCGCACAAATAAGACTTTGCCCATTGGAAATGAACTTTCTTGCTTCCAGGAAATTACCTCAAAACCATAAACGCTCACACACACACACACACTCGTATGTATATAAACAATATGAAAGCACAGCTTGTTTGCACAGATATAAAAGAAATAAATGCAAAACGCAGAAACATTTGGAAAATGGAGAAATGAAAAAGGGCCAAAGAATTGAAATAATGTGCAACTTTTTGCGTTAGCTTTGCTAACTTTTCAAATTTCAATTTTCTGTTTTCAGTTCTCTGAATGCAATTAAATATTATAAAATCTATGCTATGCTGTGCAATGTTATGCAATGCGGACATGCAACTGGCAAGTGCAACTGTGTGGCGTTTTGAGGTTATGGTAAGCTAGGGGTGAGCGAGGGTCGGGTCGGGGTGAGAGGGTGCGAGCATATACATTAATATATTTACCATATATATGTAAATTTATATATATATGGCATATATGTATAAAAGCTATTATTTGTATATTTATACTATATATAATATATATGTATATAGGCATAATTGAGGTGCACAAACGGTCACTGTGTTGCCGGTAGCTGTGTCAAGCAGACGATGGCAACTTTTGAGAGTGATATTTTTGTATGCACACTATGTTTATAGGTACATACACACATGCATTCGTGTATATATACATATGTATGCGTATATGTGCATATAGAGGTATGCACCTATACATAGAAGTATGTAGCAAGTATTGCGACACTTGAGAAGCTGCATAATTTTCACTTTAAAACTTTCATAACAACGCTTGGACAGGCCGAAAATGCAAAAGGAAACAATAAATAGAACAACAACAATAATAACAACGTAAAGGGAAAGCTTCAACAACGAAGTAAGCAAAGAAAAATTGTAACAACACAGAGCAACTGCCAACCCGTTGCGTTGACATTTCTCCAACGGCAACAAAGATGACAGCGAACGAAGGAAAAAAATAAAAACAGAAAAAAATACCGTTACCTTCCTTTGCTACGAATATCCTTAACAACCAAAAAAATTTTCCGTACACGAAATTGGTTTTGATCGGTCAGTTTGTATGACAGCTATAGGCTATAGTCATCCGATCTGAACAATTTGTTCAGATATTAGAGCCTTGCTTTAGATAATAATTCATGTTGAATTTTATGAAGATATATTGTGAAATAAAAAAGTTTTTCATACAAGGACTTGTATTTTAGCGTTCAGTATGTATGGCAGCTATATGATATAGTGGTCCGATATCGACAGTTTCGACAAATGAGCAACCTCTTTTGAAGCAAATGTGGTATGCAAAATTTCAGAACGATATCTCGAAAATAGACCGAAAAACGAACAGGCCGGTGTGCCTCAATCGACTCAGCTTGCCACGTCATATACACTTGTACATACATACATAAGAATATAAATAGGGTCTCCAACCTTTCCTTCTGGATGCTCCAATTTTCATGAGAAACTTTATAAATCCTGTTCGGGGTATAAAAATACAAGTAGTCGCCAACTTTTGGCAATCCACACGGGTGGCTAACTAACACAAAACCAGCCAGGATACCGTTCTACGACGGTAACTGCTACTGTCAACACCAAAGTATAGAGCGAGCAATATGAAAAAAAAAATGGCAAGAAGCAGCATATAAAATGGAAATTCACGCTACCCCTAACAAGTACAAAAACAACTACAGGACAATAGTGCTTGCGAAACTTTAACGAACGGACGCAGCATGCTGCGCAGGCAGGAACGAAGCGGGAGAAGGCGGCAAGGAGTGTACTAGAGTTGCAGGTGACTGCTGGTTGTTGACGCTGGCTGATGTGCTTGTATGTGTGTGTTTATTTATGTGTATGCGTGTGCGCCAGCAACTGCTTTGACAAGCAACAGTCGCAAGTTCCGGACTTGCAGCGACCTGTGAGACTGCTGGCAGGACAGGGCAGCATCAGCCGGACCCGGTTGCGTTATGCTGCTGCTACTTTCAAGTGTCTTCCTGTTTTATGTACGTTATATTACAGTTTTACGCACACACACTATATTTTATATATTTACATATAAATATATATAAATTTTTTGGACTGTGTCTTCCATGCGGACGCCTTTGTTAACCCATTTTTCTGCGGCACTTGGCACACTCGAGCATCGTACAGCGCTTGCAACACTTGACACACACAGCGAATGTATGTATATATGTATATACATAACGGTATTCATATACATACATATATACTATATATATAATGAAAATGTTGGCTGATGGCACTCACCTGGCACCGACGAGCAGACTGTTGCCATCCTTTGTGACAAGTTTAAAATGATCCACGACACTTTCGTTTCCGAGGAATTTTAGCACATCTTCAGGACCTGCAGATAAAAAGGAGAAAGTGGAAAAATTAGTAAAAACAGCATAGCAAATTAGTACAGCACAAAGATAATATAGTATTTAAATAATGAAGTGTGTATATAAAAATACTGAGATAGTGAAAGAAATGAATATAGATAGCCAGTGAAATGGAGAGCGATAGAGAGTGAGCGCCAATGAGCGCCACTGCTTAATTAGGCAATTTAAATTTAACAAAAGCCATGAGCCGCACAGCACACTGCACTGCAACGTCCGACGCCCGACGCAAAGCGGCACAATGGCAACGCCACAGGCCACCGGAAGGTGCACTATACTTTCGCCCACCACCACACGGCGCATGGAGCACAGGCTGGCACATGCTACAAATATCGGACATTTCACAGCAATGGTCGCAGCTGAAGTATCTCTTTGATGTAGGGAAAGTAATAGTTGACACAAAACGCACGAATAAAAGGCCGTTGGTAAGGTAAGATGTGGTGGGGCAGCTGCCGCATGAATTGCCTGACAATGGGGCGCAATTTAATGGCTGAAAAGTCACAAGGTTTGTAGGTATAATAATGAAGCTCTCGCTGCAGGTGTAGGAAGGCACACTTGTGCCGCTGAATGTGTCGGAAGCAGAGAGATAACTCGCTATTTTTTGTATTTTTGAACRTATTGTTGCCGCAGCAGCTCATTAAATACTGTTGACAACAGCATGTGGTGGGGGGGGCATGTGACAATCAGACAAATTGTTATGGTGAGCTGGTGTAAGAATAGTGAAAAGTAAAAATGTAGTGTGAAGTCACGCCAAATTTCACTGATGCAGACTAATTGGTAATTCCTACAATTTTTCGTTCATCTCAATACGATCAACTGCAATTCTCAACTGGTTTATACGAAGTTTTAACATATTAATGACAAGACTTGACTTGATAATTGTTTGTTGTGAAAGCGTTGAACTTGAAGGAACTATATACATTGTAGATTTCTGAAATAACTGTAATTATCAATAAGTTAAAACAAACCTCCCTAGAAACAAACTCATACTACTGGTCGCATACATATTACACTGGACACAGCAAGCTGAAGAAGCACTTACACAACAAGGGCCTAGCTCCTTGCGTAAATTGCCTACTAATTGACTGCATAGCAGTCTGCAGATGCAGGTAAACGACCCTTGTATCCATTTTTCCAAATAGGAATCACATCGCTATTTTAGCAGAGGACACAATAGACTTAAGCTCGCGTTACATTTATAGTATATAATAGAGTGGGCAAAAAATAGTAAGATTTTTTAAATTAAATTTCACGCAAAAACCCATTCGTCGAAATATGTTTTTTCTGTGTGTGTGTCTTCTAGCTAACGACCGCTTCGCGGAAACCATTTTAAGTCAATTGAAGATATTAAACGTGAATCGATAAACGCATTCAAGGAATTTCCGAAAATCGAATTTAACAACTGTGACGAAGATTGGAAAAAAGTTGGCTCAAGTAGATTGGGGCCAGGAGCCATTACCCCCAAAGAAAACCCGTATGAGTCTATTCGCCATTGCGATGGAGCTCTGCGCATCCACTTTATGGCAGATTTTGCGAGAGATCTTGGTTTGCGGGATTACAAAATTCAACTTGTGCAAGAATTGATACCGAATTACCAGCAAGCGCTTCATATTTTCGGTAAATGGATCTAAAACAAGATGGCCACCGATACCAATTTTGACACGAAAATTTTGTTCCGATGTTCAATGCGATGAAGCTCTTTTTTTGTTGCATCGGTACGTTGATTCATGATAGAATTTAGACCGTCATTAAGACCATGTGCTCCCGAATGGCAACTATTTTACCATTTATCCAGCAACTCAATGGATTTGACGAATTGGTAGCCGTGGAATATGCTTCTTCTCGTACGGCTGAAGGCTGGGTATTTCATAGATAATGCTTCAACTTCTCATCATCCTCCACGCAAGCTCTGAATGCCGGCGAATTCACTTTTCTCATTTTCTGCAGGTAGCATCTTAAGTATAGGTGTCCTGTTATGATCACTATAATGTTCCTAAGTCTCCATTTTAGATGGGTGAGGGATATAGGAGGATGGAGTCATGTGTAGAAGTTCACACAAATGAGGAGTGTTATCTGATCGCCATTCACTTAGGAGTGGCTACAAACGATACTTTTACATATGCTCAAGCAGCTCACGACTTCTGGTAAAATAAAACATACATTTGAAGGCGAGCTAAAGTGAAAAGGTAGAGCATCCCTCCCCAGGGTTGTTCGCTGGGTTTGGAGCCAACCAATGAAAAGACTACTGCTGGAAGAAAGAATTCGGGGTGCAGAATTTCATCGAGTAGGTAGAATCTTCTATAAGAGCGGAGAGATGCTGTGAGTCAATTATATTGATATCATTGGCCTCAACAACCGCACCGTTGGTTCTGCTTTCTCCAGATTTAATAAGGAAGCAAAGCATATGGGTCTGGTCGTAAACGAGGACAAGAAGAACTATCTCCTGTCATCAAACAAATAGTTGCTGTAATCGCGACTTGGTTCCCAAGTCACTGTTAACAGTCATAACTTCGAAGTCGTAGTTAATTTCGTATATCTTAGAAATCGCATCAACACCAACAATAACGTCAGACTCGAAATCCAAAGCAGAATATATCTTGCCAACAGGTGTTACTTCGGACTGTGTAGACAATTGAGAAGTAAAGTCCTCACTCGACGAACAAAAATCAAACTCTATAAGTCACATTACCGTCCTGCTGTATGGCACAGAAACATGGACGACGTCTGATGAGTCGACGTTACGAGTTTTCGAGAGGAAAGGGATCTGCGACAGATCTATGGTTCATTGCGCGTTGGCTACGGCGAATATCGAATTCGATGGAACGCTGTATGAGATATACGACGACATTGACATATGTATGCAGTTCAGCGAATTAAAAGACACCGGCATTGCTGGCTACGTCATGTCGTTGGAATGGACGAAAACACTCCAGCTTTGAAAGTATTTGACACAGTAACCGCTTGGGGAAACAGAGGACCAGGTAGAGAAGGACCGGGCTTGGCTTGGTATTTCCAATTGGCGCCACACAGTAAAAAGGAGAAACAACTGCGCGTTGCTGTTAACTCGGCAATAACCGCGTGAGCGATGTCTACGCCAGTAAAGAAGAAAAATGGGTACTTAAATAAACTAAAGGCTGCCGTTAAAGTTTAAAGAAATCACTGTTTGATGTGCTCTGTAGTTACAGAGAATGATTAGTCCATATTTTATTGTACTTATTGAAGGAAACGTTTGGATTCCAGTGGACAAACCTACATCCACTCGGTTCGTCACGTTGATTATTTAAATATTGGTTGACACAAAAAGTCTTGCGGTATTTTCGTTAGTTGGCGCTGAGAGCGTTTTATTCGTCGCATCGGATCATGCTATACCTTTTTGGAAAGCTCATTTCACGCGTGTTTGATTGCTTGTCGTTTCTTTTAAGTCGTTCGTGAGTTATGGCGTCGCAAACACGGAGCAAAATAAAGAGAAAATATGGCATATTTTACAGTACTACTACGATAAAGGCAAAAATGCATCTCAAGTCGCCAATAAAATTTGTGCAGTTTATGGACCCGATACAGTTTCCATTTCCACCGCACAACGATGGTTTCAACGTTTTCATGCTGGTGTAGAGGTGGTCGAAGATGCGCCACGCTCCGGAACGCCTGTCGTCGAAAATTGCGATAAAATCGCTGAATTGGTCGAAAGAGACCGGCATAGTAGCAGCCATAGCATCGGTCAAGAGGTGGGCATGAGTCATCAAAAAAAAATTTTATGAACAATTGAAAATTGAAAAAAATTCAATAAAAATACTGCAAGACTTTTTTGACAACCTATTATAAAGTTTAAAGAGTCTCCCACATTTATCTCGGCTTGCAACAAACTTCGTGGCAAACTTAGTAAACCGATTTCAGGCTAAAAAAAAGCTATACAGCTGCTTATATGAAAGTTAGACTTAAAAAATTAGTTATCGATATAAGAACGTATATATTAAATAGCTCTAAACATTTTCTGTTGATTTTTTATGCCACACATCACCACCGACATATGATAACATGTGGCTGCTGCATAAATGTATGCGGTGAAACAAATGGCTGATTGAGGAACTTTGTCATTACTTTTTGGCATCATCACTCATCGATGGCAACATCGTTAAGTGCACGCAATGGTCCTTGAAATGTGTGGCACGTCTACAATAACGGCAGCAACGGCGACGCAACGCAGCACTAAAGCGACTTCACTCCATAAGCAGTTTCCAGCAGCCAACAACAAAAACAAATAAAGGCGTAGGAGACTTACGAGCTGTAGGAGGACATGTTCACATTTATGTGCAGAATTTTTTGTGCTAGAATGTTCTACGATTTTTATTTTACTAGCAAAGCAAACATTGCTACACATATATATGAATATATGTATGTGTATGTGTATGATTTACCGTTTTAACGGCATCGCTTTGGATTTTGCTGTGCTGATCACGTTGGCGGTTCCTTTTGTCATTTCCTTAATGTGACTGCGTTATGGCGGGTCGGCAGCGACGCAGTGCCGCATTCGTATATGTGGGTCTAAGTATTTGTGTATGTATGAGTGGGTGTGGCGGCTGTGTACCCAGCTTCCTTTTCTCATGCGTGTTTGCATTGGTGCTTGTATGTTTGCGTTACGCAACCCGCGAGGCAATGCGCTGCCCATATTATAGCCAATGCAGCAGCGAGTTTGCTTCCCTATGGACCTTGACTCAAGCGACTGGTGTGACTGGTGTTATGATTCAGTATGTGCTCACTGTTACCACTACAACCACAAAAACTACTGGCGCTATTGTCTTTGCTGTTGCCGCCATTTTTATGTGCGACACTTAAATAAGCGCAAAAACGGCGGAAGGTGATGATATATGGCAATATAAGTATGTATGTTGTAGATTATATGAGTATATATGTGCGTGTGGTGCGTTACAATTCAGTTTGGCAAGTTCGACGTGTCAGCCGATTGGAG